GGCTACGAGGGCAAGTGCGTGTTCTGCAGGATCGCCCGCCGCGAGGAGCCGCGCACCGCGCTGCTGCCCTGCCAGGTGCGTGCGGGCGCCCCTGCCCTCCCTCGGCGCCGCCGGCGCGTCCGACGGGTCGCCGCTCGTTGCCCTTGTCAGTGAAGAGACGAGGAAGCGGGGGGAGTGACATGGGGATTTGTGGAAAGGGGGAATGACAGGGGGATTTGTGGAAAGGGGCGCGAAGCGCTGAGGCTGCGCGGCCGGGGCCCGGCTGCGGGCGCAGAGGAGCGGCTGAACCGGAGCCGCCCGGCCTCGGGCATCTTCCTCCGGCTCACTGTGTTTTTAAAAATATCCGTAAATATTTGTGTGATCCCTTTTATGTTGGTAATAATGGAATACAAAACGGGCCTGAGTTCTCTCTCCTAGGCTGTGTCTGTTTTCAGCTAATGAAGCATGGCACTTGAAAATACTGCTGCTCCTGGGGTTGTCACAGTCTGGAGCCGGCCTTTGGAGGAGACAGTTGTGAAACATTGGTCAGATGGAAGGAAATACCTTGTCCTTTTAAATGCTTCTGCAACAACAGCATGAAGCCTTGAAGCAGCCGGGGAGCAGATATTTGTGCTGCTAGATATTGAGGAGGCCCGAATGCAGGAAGCCAGATCATCCTTGAAACTCTTTTTGTGGACAGACTCTAAGATAACTTACTTCGATGTAGTAATGGAAAAAAAAATATGTCGCAATTCTGAGATTTTTACCTATCTATTTCATATATAATACCAAGTATGACACTGGTGTGGGGAATGACTTTGCTTGTTTGTCAGTATCCTCACCGTGGCAGACTTAGCATGTTTGTATTTCCTCCCAGTATGAAGACCTGGTTTGCTTCAGAGATATCAAACCTGATGCACCCCACCACTACCTGGTGGTGCCTGTGGAGCACGTGAGAAACTGCAAGACGCTGAAGAAAGAACACATACCTTTAGGTAAGGCTGCAGGTGCTCGTTAGTGTGTGTTTAATGTGAGAAAGATGATTTTGCACTCTGGGTTGTTGCAGTGAAAACATTGCAAATAAATCACAGCTTTGAACACCATTTAGTTGTGGACGAAACACATCTTCTGCTTCCATGGAGTAGAGAAACCTCTTCAGTTTATCTGTGCTACTATTTTTTTGCAGTATGCATACATATTCCACTTCATTATTTTTATAGGTATATATGCAATCTTAAATAATATCTTAAAAATCTGTTTATATTATTTTCATAAAATGTTGCATTATCTTTCATGAAGGAGGAAAAATGAAAGACAAAATGGTGTTCTAGTAAACCCTAATGTTTTTTAAAAGCTAGAACCCTAAAATATTGAAACTGTGATGTAGTTTTGATTCTTTTTCTTATTTTAACATTGTAATAAATAACTAAGATTATTTGTTTCACAAGAATTGTTTTGTTTTTGCTGATGTGTTGAGGACCAGGGAAAAAAACTGTGACCACGAGCACATAAGCAGGTTTCCACTTTAGCAAAGATTACAGGTGTCGCAAAAGAAGAGTTATAGTGGTGTGTTGCAACTTTCTTGTTTCTCTGTGTGTTCTAATTCTAGGGCAGTTTTCTCCAGAAACAGCTTTGCTGTGTATTTGGCTTCAAAGCAATTCCTTTAGACTTTTGTCTTAAGATCTTGTGTTAGAATTGCTTCTCTTCTTACTGATTTGATAGAGGAAAAAAGGTTATCTTTTTTAAATATTTTAAGTTGGTGTATCATCTCTAAAACATTATAAGTCTTTATTTCGGTCTACTAACTTTAAAAAGGCTTAAAGAAAAATACCAGGTTGCATATCAGACTTTCACCTCAGTACCTAGAGATGAAAGTCCACCTACGCAGAGCTAGCGGACACTGTAATATATGTAGTAAGTGTAAACTTATCATTCTGACTAACTGCTGTTTGCAGGTTTTCTGTAAGGTGAGACCATGGCTTTGGTCAGCACAGTTAGAATAATGCCACACTTAAAAGCCTCCTGATTGTGGAAATCAGTGACATGGGTGTTTTTCTTTGTAGTAAACTGTTTTACAATCTTCTTCTTATTCCTATAAGCTACAGTATTTGTGTTTTATTGTAAAATGCATGAGTTTGTGTTCTTAGTGTAATTAAGTTATTGAAATTAATATTTGAAGATTTTGCTTCTGAAAAGCAAAGAGATTTTCCAAATTTCTTTACCTAAAGACCTATGGTGCTTAAAATATTAAGCATTAAATGAAATTTATTTCTATTTAATAGTGAAGAAAATGATGGAAGTTGGAAAAAATGTCCTCCAACATAATAATTTTAGTGACATGAATGATGTAAGGTATGTAAATGAAGCCTTCTATATATACTGAATATTCTCTTGACTTTCCAAAATGTTATTTTAGAGATACTAGCAACACCTGCAGTATGATTTATTGAAGGGGGGTTGGACTGCCTTATTGCCTGACTTCGCAAGTAGAATAGGTGGCATTGGGTATAAACATGTTTTGGGGGATTTTTGTTTTCTTATTTGTTTTTTTCTGTTGAACTTTTAGTGCAAAATTCCTTGCAACTCTGAAATTTTCTTACTCGTGTTGGTGAAGGAATGGCACTTCAAATACAATGTCTAAAAGGCTGCTCTTTAATTATGTGCTGAGTGTATGCTCCAAAGTTCTAGATACTGGAAGAGAGGTAAACTTGGGCCGCTTTGAGCAGGGCACTGTATTGTTATATCTGTATTGGTTTGATTACAGTTTAAGCCAGTATATTTAGTAGTTAAACTCTTTTAAACTATTTATAAATTCATTTGCAAAGTCAGGCAAATGGAAACATAATTGAAATGTAGTATAGGAAGGCAAGCCAGCATGGTTAAAATAGGTAGAAGATACTTTTGTCTAAGTGACAGTTGATTTTCTAGCTGAAAACTGGGAATGGTACATTTAGGGATTTAAGGTATATCATACTTAAAAAAGAGAGAGGAGATTAAAAAAAAAGTATATTTTAAGTACTGTGATTAAAGCAGGAGATTAATGGGTTTTAAAAAAGGTGCCTGGAGTGCACAATCAAAGGAAAACACATACTTTTGTTCATGTCCTTGTACAAAAGTAAAATGTAATGATTTTGACATGCCAGGCTAAAAGTTAAGCTCTTAACTCATTTGATCATGGTAAATGACTTGTGATGTTCATCTTCTTTCTGAACTAATACAAATATTTTAACTTGTTCATTTTCCTTTTCTGAAGAATGGGCTTTCACTGGCCTCCATTCTGCTCGATAGCCCACTTGCATCTTCACGTCTTGGCTCCAGCCAGTCAGCTAGGATTCTTAGGCAGACTGCTTTACAGAGTCAATTCTTACTGGTTTATCACGGTAAGTGTAATGCCAGATATGTCAATAGCTTTTCAGTTGCAAGATGAAAATGTCTTATCTTTCAAAGAGCATAACTTTTTCCAGAAAATCTTAGAACAATTATTTTAGTCATTGCTATAATTAATTTTGCATGTTTTACCTTAACTGAAAAAAAAAATATTGTTTATACTTACCGAGAAAATCAAGTGACAGTAGAATTAACGGCAATCAGTTTTGTACTTTTGGATCTAACGTGTAGCTTATGTTAATATGTTTTACTTCTGATTGCACTTTATAACCATTAGTTATTTACTGTGGGAAAATGTATTAGAATGTGGAAATTTATTGTGGAAAATATATTGGAACGTAATGGAATAGGTATTATATATGCCTTGGTTAATCCAATTTAAGCAAAAAACATGACTGCTTATATCAGTTCACATGAAGCTTTTCTTGTCTTTAGACTGCAACAAGTTCCTGCTTTACAAAAAATATTTTTCTAGTATTGGTATCTGTGAGTAGAGATTAGACATTCTCACTGTTTATCTGGAAAAGCAAGGAACTCATCCTTGCAATGCAGCTACGCCATAGCTATGGGAATCCTAGTGTGTCTGGGTGTGTCATTGGACAGCCCCAAAGCAGCAATGCTGTTGGTGTACCTCCTTTTAAGAAGAATCTAGAGCGCCTCTTACCACCACCACCATCCCCTCTTAAAAAAAAAAAAAAAAAAAAAAAGAGAGAGGTCGAGCTTCTTGGTGGCACCCTGTTGGAGTCCTCAGCTAGATCCAAGCAGGCAAATGTGTCCATGCAGTACAGCTTCACACAGATATTAGATTCTTAGATTAGAGTAGCTTTGCAGTTACACTGTTTGGGGTACCCCCACTGTGTGGGGTTCCTCAGGGGTGTCTGGACCACGTTTGGTTATACAGGATTGAAGTACCTCAAGAGATATTTTGCAATATCCCATTAACAAGTTGAAAAAAATGTTCTTGATTCTTTTATTGTTAACAACTTGAATATGATATTTGTTTAAGAATGCAAAGCCAGCTTGAGATGATTTTATCTTCAGTTTCTTTTTTCTTTTTCTAGCTTTATTTCCAAATTAACTGCAAGACCTACTCAACTCTTGTTGTTTCTACCAAAGGAGCTGATTGTTTATCTGCTGTGTGTGTTAAAAATACTAGACTTAAGCTTCTTTCCTTTTAAGATGGTTCCTCAAAGACTAGTTCGAGTGAGAAGATTAATTCAGTGGGACTTGACAAAAAAAGGTTGTCAGTAACAACCAGTTCTTATAGGTCAGTTGACCTGACCAGTGCTTTCAAGATCTTTAAAATCATGCTTCTTGATTTACTATTTACTCAAATATATTCCAGCTTTCACGATTTGTTCTTCCTGTTCTGATCAGCTAATAACAGTTTGATAGAAAAGTCTGTTGTTTAAAACAGTCATTGCATTTTACTTCTGTTATACCCTTTGTGCAAAACAAGAAGTATGTGCTTTGTTCATCCCTATCACTGGAATTTTTTTAAACTGAAACTTTCAGTAAACTCAGTAACTGTGTAGTTAATGCATTGCTTTCTTTCATAGGCTGAACAACTGATTGAGCGATTGCAAACCGAAAATGACTCCAGCTGAAAGCACATTGGGCTCAGTGTCACCAACAAGTTTGGTTCTTCATCTATGACCTCTGCTTGAAGGTTGCACGGTTTGATGTTACTAATAATATACTAGGATAAAAAGGCTTTAATGCTTTGTAAAGAAATACACACAGAATTTGTAAGTGCCAACCAGTTCTTGCAGTCTGCGTACCTAAAAAGTCCATGTATTTAAGAAGTCCATGTACTTCTCTGATGGTGAAGCAAGGTATTTTAATGATAGCTTTTTATTTATATACATGTAGTATACATACAGGTACATATACTTCTCTGTGTGTGTGTGTGTGTGTGTATATATGTATATATACACATACATGCAGCCTGCTTTTCCTAGTAAAATCCGGAATGTATTTTTAACTAAGGAACAACAGTTACTCCTAACGGCATATACATGATACCAAAGGGAATGTTTGCTGTGGAATCTAGATTTTTAATGAAAAAAAAAACATTTTCTGGGATTGCAAGTAACATTTAAGACATTAAGTTTCTATACTTTATGTACTTTTCTGTCCTTTTTTAGTTGTGCATAGTTGTTAGTGAATATATTGCAAAAGCACCATTTTTTTCTGTTGCTGAAATACTTTAATATATTACCTCTCTTACCTGCATGACAGTGCCATAGTAAATGTTAATACAGTATGTGTCTGAGATGTGTTGATGCTAAACAATTTAGAATATAATTTAAATGTATATATAAGCATTTACATGTTGGACTTAAGACTATTTCCCCTCTTATGTGCACAATATCTTAAATTAGCTACTGCCTGTTTCCAAAGAATGTGAAGAGTTCAGATAAATGATTTAATATACTGATCTTCTGCATGACAGTATAAGAGAAAATCAAATTTTGAGATGATGCTGACAATGTTCTTGCTTAGAACTCCAAGTCACTCAGAGTGTACTAATATCTTGTCTAAATTTCATTTTCTAAATGAAGTCAGAAGAGAATGGGTCTTTCGTGCCATGAGGATGTGCAGACCTGCATAATAGCAGTCGTGTTTTGAACTTGGACTAGCAGAGACTCAGCCCAAAACTGGGACACGTATGATGAATTGTGTTCAGAATTACTTAAGGAACGTGCCAGCACGTGGCTTTACTGTGATTGTGTGATTTGCTCTGTTTTTCAATGCCGTTTTGAGGCAGACTGTTAGCAAAGCAGAAGTTCCAGAAGACAGAGTGGAGTTTTTTGTTCATAGGGTGTATCTCTTGGTGCCTAATTAATCAAGTGTCCTTGGCTGATACTTGCAGTTGTAGCTAAGTTCATGATGGTCTGCAGCACCTGCAAGCTTCCCTGGACCTAATCTTCTCAGTGGTTTCCACTGATGCAGCACCTGTGCCTTAGGGGTACAATGTATTATAATCTTCATACAGTAAATGATACATAATATTTCAGAAAGTTCACCCTATTCTAAACAACACATTTTCTATCCAGAAGTTTACATCTGTTCTTTCCTGAAGACCTTGTTCCTAATATTTTTGTGTTCTTGTTAGTGGGCACTCACATGTTGTTTGCATTACTTTGTGGCTTAGATTTTTAATTTTAGCTAGGAGAAGCGTGAATTAAAGCCACTGAACTTTGACTAATTCTGTGCAATAGATTAGGATTAGATTGGCTCCTAAATTGATGAAATATTTGAACATTTTTAAGAGTTAATACTATGTATGTGTCTTTTGACTTGTAGTTAGTATATGTAACTGTACTTAACTGTGACATATAATATTTAAGGTGTAATGAATTCTTGTCAAAAGGATTAATAAAGAACAAATACTAATCTTGAAATCTTACAATGGTTGTCAAATGTAAACAGAAGGAAACACAAAGGTCAATTTTTAGATGTTTTAACTTGTACAGAACCACTGAAGTGCAAAGACAAGCTGATTTTGGTATGTCAACACTGTTAAGAAAATACTAATAGTGGGGCAGGAACTGCTGGGAATTAAATGCAGAGTCCAGCAGGAGGTTAGTGTGATTTTAGTGGGGGCGGGAAGGAAATCTGCACTAATCATCATCCCTGTTTTCAGAGTATATTGGACTCCTTATCTCTGAGCAAAATCAATTATATTGAACTCTATTTAGCTCTGAAGGTCTGATGCATGTAAGGAAAGGTGAGCTACAGCTGTGCTGTAGCATATTATTACTTTCATAAATTTCTGTTACACCTGATAAAGGGCCACTACTGGCTTTAAGACTCTAAAGCCAGATCAGGATATAATCCATCTTCTCAAACTTTTATTGGTGAACAAGGTAAGAAGCATTCAAATTGTCTTTGTCATTAGCAGACTATGCTCAAACCAGCTCAAAGAGGCAAGTGTAATTTATAAACGGAGCCACATTAATTATTGAGATGAACAGTAGTACTCAGTATCTCATTAGTGCTTTCCAGTAGAGAACTGCATTGCATTTCCCTTCTGTATTGACAAGTGTTCTTCCTGGGCCCCAAAGAGGTTTTTTTTTTTTTTTAATTAGACTAAAGAATATTTTCTATAAATTCTAATACTTTGAGTAGGTGTGAGAATTGTTGGCCATTCTCCAGAAAACACAGCTGGCAGACTCCCATTAGTGATGTCTGCCCTCTTTTACAGCAGCCTTATAATATGTTTTGGAAATTTCCAAAACCTTTTCTGGAGCATTCCAATGAGTCAAAGTATTTAAATGACTTTTTCTGGAGAGTCAACTCAGCAGTTCTTCTTGGATGTAAGAGCCTGAGAATCAGAGAAAACTTGCTTAGCTACTACTCACTGGTCTGTTGTTCCTTGATCCAGTATTAGCAGTTCTGTGAAAAGCAGCTTTTTTGACTACATGTACAAGCTTTATTTGTACTCTTTTGCTGTATTGTTTTACACAAACTACCAGCCTCATGCAAGCCCCCAGAGTAATGCTTTTGTGCTAAAGTACTGCTTACCCCGTCATGAAAGAGTGAAGCAGATATATATACAATACTGTTAATTGTAAAAATTAAGTAAAAACCTTCAAGTATATAACTAAGAAAAGCATTTTCAGTGCTGGTAAGTTGCTAATAGCTATTTGAAAGACTTTTTAAAGCATGAGTTGCAAATAAAAACATAAAAACCGGGAGTACAAATGGATAAAAATCATTTTTGAAGTCTGTCAGACTAGGAAACTGTAAAACTCTACTTAAAAAAGAAAAATCACACTACAGTCCTGTAAAATTGATGTGCAGTATTTATTGAAGGCATTTTCAGTGTTCCACAAGACAAAAGACAGATAATTCTTGTACAATTTATTCTCTAAAACCCATGTAGAATAGATAGGCTTCAACTGGAGAAAAGACTACTGAGAGAGTTGATGAACTTGCTACAAAACATGAAGTAGGAGATACTTGAGGAGCTAAAAGTAACTTGATGGGATAAGAACACCTTTTAGAAGGTCAAAGTTGGCTTACTACAACAAGTAATCTGTCCTACTAACATAAACTCATGTCTTAACACGTCCTGTGAAAATGACCTATTAGGCTAGCTGTTCCATGTCCTTTAACGGTGGCCCATTACATTAACATTTCAAACTGGTTCATTTGCAGGTGTCAGTATCTCTTCTACATGCCAGATGATGAAGCAAAATTTTCTGAAGCTTGCAAACTGGGAGCTAGGTCCAGCCTTATGCACTGGATATGATGCATACCTGACTGTACAGGTTTTAGGAGCAATTTTTATTCTTAAGTGTATCAGCAGACAGACAGCTCAATCGATTGCACTTACCCTTTAGACTTCTCACGGAGTAGCAGCTCCTGCAGAAAGCAGGAGATCTGTCAGCCTGGGAGCTGACGCAGTTTGGCGGTTTTCTCATGTTTGTGACAGTGGCGTGCACAGGCACAATAGAAAGCAGTCACCCATGACTGAGTATTCATCTGGCAGATAGCACCAAATTTGGTCCTATGATTATTAAAAAATATGTATCTATCGCTAAATAAATAATCTGTGTGGTACTAATTCTTGGATTTTTGCTTACAGTTGCTTACAGAGTTGGCCTGACCAGTTAATTAGGGCTTACTCTGCTTTTCTGTCTTTTGATAGTAACCAGAGTTATGACCATAGCTCCTGTAGATGGACCCTAGTACTATTTACAGCTTTCGCAGATGCACACAGCAGTAGCTGGAAAAAGTGCACAGAGACTATATAAGTACCTAACACTGACTGCATACATGGCAGTTGAAGCCCAGATTCCTGTGGTTTAACTCTCTTAAAACAACAACTTGTAAGGCTGCAGGAGCTGCCCTTGCATCTCAGTTGAGGCAGAGCACAGCCTGAGCACTGGGTGTGTTTGCTGAGAATAATTATTTTTTCCTGATTATTTTTCCTGATGCGGTCATCCTCTTAGTAATACTTGAACTCCCTCGTACTGCTTCCTACAAATTATGAATTAACATTAGGGCAGAACCAAATGGATTTAAAATTAAGTTAAAATTAAACCGTATCTGTAGCAACCTGTAGCTGTAGTTTAACAATCTTGAGATTGATTTTGAAATTAATTTTTATACGATGTGTGCCCAGGCTTTTATCTAGTGGGAACTGAAATCCATAGAGGCATGCTCCCGTCATTTTGGCAAGAGATTGATTTTTTTTTTGAAAAACACAGCACTTTCAATGTATTAAATGCTGTCTGGGGCAGGACGTATCCCCCAGTTTCCAACACGCTAAAATTATGTGATGATAAAACCCATCCTTCTGTTTCCCCTTCCGTGATATATCTGGCTTCCCTGTACCTCACATATACTTATGTTGGCACCTTCTTTTCTCCCCCTATTTGCTCGTCTTCTAATTACCTTTTCACTAGGAAAAGGAGGCAGAGAAATAATAAATTATATTTATATTCAATTATTATTGCTAAAGGAAACAAAAAAGTTTTTGATGCAAATGTCTATTTGATGAAAATATAAAAATATTAGGCTTTTTGCAAAAAAGAAGTCTTGTATATAATTAGTATAATATAATTTAATCACATTTACCATGTTCATAATTTAT